ATCGGGCCTTGGTGAGTCCGCATTTCAAATGCTTTGTGCAGTTTTGGCTTCCTTATTTAAGGAATGATGCAGATGCGTTGGAGATGGTTCAGAGGAAGTTTACCAGATTGATAACCTGGAATGAGTGGGTTGTCTTCTGAAGGCAGGTTGGATAGACTGAGCTTGTTTCTCTGTAGTTTAGAAGAATTGGGGTTACTTGATTGAAGTAAATAAGATGTTCGAAGGACGTGATAAATTAGCTGTCTCTTTTATGGGTGGGTCCAGAACTAAGGGGCACTGTTTTAAAAATTAGAGTTGCCATTTTCAGACAGAGGTGAGAATTATTCTCTCTGTGAATTGTTCAACTTTGGAATGCTGCCACAGAGGACAGTGGAGGTATGGTCATTAAATGACTTTAAAATAGTGGTAGATTGATTTACCTTCCTAATAGTTTACTGCAAGTAGATGGGAATGTGGAATTCAAAACTCACCATTACCTCATTGAATGACGAATCAGGCTTGATGGTCTGAATGACATAGTTCTGCTCCTAATTGATGATGTTTAAAAAAATGCAAGTATTCTGTTTTGCAGGAGAAGATATAATGACCCAAAATCTTGTTGGCAATTGACAGCAACTTGAGTCCCCCGGGTATTGGCTGTCAGCAGAATATGTGTTATTGAATTTACACACCTCTACTAAAATCTGAATTACTTTACAAGGATAGTTAGGAATATTGTAAATAGTATTTTAGTATCTTGTGTTTTTTTTTAACATTCCACTGAATACCATTTTGAAAGGGTGTTGTTTGGTATGTCGCTGTACAAAGACATGAAGGATGAATGATTGAGCTAAGGAAAGGGTAATGTGCATATTTTATTAAAAGCACCATTTGCATCTATGCGAAAGCAATTGTTTTATACTTTAATAAAGGCAGAATTTATAATGATGCAGGTTACTTCTGGTAGGAGGCTGTGAAACCAGTGAGGAAGGAGTATCTAAAGCTACCAGTTATGGGATAACTGCATGGCGAGTTCTTTCTGGTGCACCGTACTATAAGCAGGTCACCAACTATGAAGATGATGTTGGTGGTGTAAGTAGAAATTTATCTTTGCAGGTTTTTTTTTTAACAAGTAACATGTTTATTGCATTAACAGAGTTTAAATGAGCAATATTTTTAGCCATAAATTTCACACTTTAAGTAGAATGCTGTAGTTGAAAGAGCTATTGATTCTTTTGCACAATCATTCATTTGAAGAACATAAAGTCATTGAGTAGTACAGTTCTGAAAGAGGCTGTCCAGCCCATCTGGTTTGTGCCGGCTTTATTGAAGAATAACCTAATTCATCCCACCCACTCACTCTATCTTCAAAAGATATCTATCCAGTTTCCTTTTGAAGGCTATTACTTAATCTGTATCCATGATAGTGGGAAAACCATATAGCTCATCCGAGGCCAAATTTCTTCAAGATGTAGGATCTGAATGTAGCATCAGTGGTAGAATTGGAAAGTCCAATTTGGAGATTTGTGTCCTGGTTGCATCTCCCAAAAGAAACTTGTAAGGAGTAGAGAATCACTCAATTGTACAGCAGAAGGGAATTATGTCATTGTTATCATATCTGGATATTTTAAAAATAAATATGTCTCTTTTTGCGATCAGAAAACATTTATAAATCCATCTGTGAGATGTAGAGCTAGAGTTCTTCCTTCCGGCTTTGATTTTCCTTTTGTATCCACGCTGCTGCTACTCCCTTTATCCCATGGATCCATGTAACTTTTTACATGCCTTTTGGAACTTCATAGACACCACTTTGGCTGCAAAGATCTCATCCTCACCATCTCATCAAAAATATCAATCAGATCAATGAAGTTTGATTGTTTTCCTTAAAAATCCATGTAGACTTTCATTTACTAGTTGAAGAACTGTTGATATTCTCTTTATCATTTCTAAATGTTTCACCGCCACTGACATTGAACTGACTAGCCTGTATGTTTTTACTATGCCCTTTTTTTTTAAACTGAGGTGTGAAATACCCAATCCTTTGTTCCCCAGGTATCTAAGAAGGTTTGGAAGATTTTAGCTCAGTCAGTATCAGTCGGCCTGGTTAGGGTTAAGCCTTGCCCAGCTTGGTTTTTTTAAAATTCTAATAGTATTGTCACAAATCTCCTACCACTCTTCCGTGGGCAACTGTGTATGACACAGCTGAGACAACATTATTTCAAAGTGAAATGAAATAATAACCTACAACTTCTGCTTTGTTTACAGTCCCAAAGAAGCTTGTTAAAGTTGCTCAGTTTTCGGGGGTTGTGGAGACGGGAACCGAAGCAGGTAAGATTGTGTGACAGAGTCATCATCCTGAGTTCAGAGTGTGTCAGGGAAATCCTATTCCACTTTACTATATTGGAAAAGTAAAAGCTGATATCAAAGCTTTAATTGGCCTCTGGTCCAGAAGCTGCCGGTAAGTAGCTTGATCAGGTGATGGAGGTGAGATCCCCACCTCATCCTTGCCACCTAATCACATGGCTCAGATCCCTTGCAGTTACATCTGTTTTCAGACAGTGGAAGACACAAATTTCTTCTGGAATGAATAGGCAACTGACAGCAGCTTTCCATTATGGAGTATCTTTAATGGAGGAAAATGTTTAAAGATGCTTCACAGAAACATTATCAAACTTAATTTGACACCATTAAGAAGCCATTAGAACAAGAGGACCAGAAGCTTGGTTAGAGAGAAGTTTGAGGGAGCGTTTTAAAACAGTAGAGAATTAGGAGTAGAATGGGGCACTTGGGTGGGACAAACTGGCTGTTTTAGTTGTCTTCCAACAATGGTGAAAAACTTTATGATTTCAACTTTTGGCAGTTGTATTTTTTAGTGAGATAGAGCTGTGAATTGGTATCTACCCAATTGTGCAAAACACCTCGCCTGTTCCATGGGTGTTTTACTTTTCTGAAATTGACTTTGTTTTGTATTGAAGTACATTTATCTAAAGTCAGGTTGATATTTGCACGTGTGATGAAATGTCCTCCTATCTGCTCATTATCAATTATGGTATTCCACTCAGTTTGGAAAAATGTATTCATTTGTTTGCAGTATCTCAAGTGAGAAACCGGTTGCTGTGAATTTCAAGCCCTACCTTGTGATCAAACTTTGCTTGAATACTATTTTCATCAATGTAAAATAAATTAGTTATGCAGTAGCATTAATATCACTGGATGAATAATTGGAGTCCCAAGTTATTAGTTTGCGGAAATGGGTTTGAATCTCACCATGGCAGATGGTGAAATTTTGATTGAATTAATTAATCTGGAATTTAAAAAGAACTAGATCAATGGTGACCATAAAGTCCTTACTGTCCTTAGCTGGTCTAACCTACCTGTGACTCCACAATGTGATTCTTAAATTCTCTCTAAAATGGCCAGGAAGGCACTTAGACTTTGTAGAGCTGATATTTACAAATAGAAGAAGGAATGAAATTGGATAGAAGGAGACACCAGAAACAACAACAGCAAACCCAGCTTTGTTAACCTGGGGATTTTCAGCATTGGTTTTAGACACTATGAAGTCTTAAGGTATCAGGTCAAACAAGGAAACCACCTGCCTGTTACCACCCAATGCCATCACTCAGGTTCCATCCCCAGGAGGGGCCTGAGTGACCGATCTGCAAGAGGTGGGTCTGAGACAACAAGAGGGAAAACCATACTTGACCTAATCCTCGCTAAGCTACTTTTCACAGATGCTTTTGTCTATGACCACATTGGGAATGACCACAGCATACACGTTGTGGAGACGAAGTCGCATCTTCACACTGAGGATACCCTCATCATGGCACTGGCACCATGCTTAATGGATTAGATTTTTTTTTAAACAGATGTAATATCTCAAGACTGGGCATCTGTGGGACATCAGCAACTGCAGCAGAACTGTATTCAACTACAATCTGTAACCTCATTGTCAAACATGTCCCCAATCCTCCTTTACCAAGTTAGGGACCAACCCTGGTTCAAT